CAAAAATATATAGTCTCCGTGCTTAGGAATTAACAATAAGAATGACAACAACATATCGTTGTCAATATTAGGCCATTTCCGAGAAGTCCCAAGCCTCTGTTTGAAAGTGAGGCTAAGTGCGAAGACATTGATATGAAAATGAATTTTTTTTTATTTTCATGCAAATAGAACTCACTTTCACAGCAAAGGTTTTGCTATAGCCTCGTTTTGAAAGTGAGATTTTTTGGAACTCGGTTATGGTCTACCTTACACAAAATACGGCATGTATTTGCATGTTTATTTCTTGTTTAATTTGTTTTAAGTCATTTCGTCGGTATTTAATTTATCCTTTGTGCAAAATTGGTCTTGTTTTAAGAAAATAAAAACGTTATATTTTTATATTTTCAGAGGGGTTTTTTCTGCTCCTTGAAGGAAAATCGCCCTTTTCCTTGTTTTCTTACACATAAAACTGGCTGAAATCTAAATTTGGTTTTGTCGGCAACATCCACGAGGGACATCACGCCAACTCTAAAACACTAAAAATATACAAGATGATGATAAAAACTAAAACAACGAATAAAAACTAATATAAACTGCTAATAAAAGATAACCTAAAAGAGTTTACTTTTAATAACACAGAGAGATTGAGTGGTAACAGCTTCTTTCGGGAGTTTGTTCCAGTCGGTTATTGTCGTGGGAAAGAAAGAAGATCAAAAAATATCGCTGTGTCCTTTTTCTGGAATGTGTGCCGCTCCCAGTGATCTTTTTAGTTTTAACACACTTAAGTCCATGCCTGAGGTTTTTTTCTTCTTTCGTAATTTCTGATAGTTCGCGGCGAAACCGTTACAGCGAGGCGCGAAGCGCTTTATCAAACCGTAAGCACGGTTTATTTCATCCTAGATATTTCGAGAATGGACCTCTGGAGCCAGGGTACATTTTCGTAGGTTTCTCTTTAAAAAAAAAAACATTTTTATGCGCGTCGAAAACGACGGTTGAAAATATAACAGCTTCTCTGTACCAATAGGCTGCTTTCGGGTATATATATTTTTTTACCTGAATCAATTTTGCCAGCGACTTAGTCTGCGTGAGAAGAAAACTATCCATCAAAAGACAAAAGAAGTTGCTTAACCTCTCTGACCTCTTTTGGTTCTTTTGGAATTTGTCGCAAAAAAACTTTCTCTGACTTAAAGTAAAAAGATCACTATGCCTGAAAGCTTCAATAACTTATTTGCAAACTTTCCCACTGCAGATCGTGTGTTAAAAATGCTCGTTGCTTAGGTCTAATTTATGGACGCTTTTCAGTGTTTGATCTGTGATTCAATCATCGACTATACATGGTGAATAAGATATAACAACTTCCTACTTGTCGCAAATGTGTTTAGCTCGTTACTCACAGCAGCTTTGGAACAAAACTTACATATTACTAACATCAGGTATAGCGAATGCATATATTTCCGATACTCTTGGCACTTCGTTAGAACTAGACTGCAAAACAGTCCGTATTTTTGCGTATTGAAGTACGCGCGAGAAGCCAAACAAAAGGTCTGGAACGAGGCTGAAAACAGGGATCCAGACTGGGGAGAGACGCTAAAAATGTTTTCTCCTCGCCTCACACGCCCTACGGGGGTGTGAGGCTCGCGCGCTTCGCGCGCGTAAGACTCTTACGCCACGCTTTACCGATTTCTTTACTGATTTTGAGAAGAAAACCCGACTGTTTTGTCTTCTACGTTAGAACGGGTTGTCACTGTATCACAATTTCAACACGGTTAGTCAAGAAATGTTTTTACTTTATTTATCTGAACTCTGTCTAGTTAATCGTCTAATTCCAAGAAGGATAAAAAGTTTAATTGTAAAGGATTAAATTCTTCTCATTATTATACTTTATCTTATTTTCTAAATATAAAGCTGTCGACAGACGAAGAGACACATCGCAGCCACATATATAACGGAGGAAAGGTAACGTGCACCAAAGGAAATATGGTACAGCGACACAACCCTTGAGAAAGAAATTAGCACAAACGAGGGACAGTCTCACTAGCCTGCGATATTCCCCGTTAGTTCTTGCGTGCTGATGTTGTAAGTTGTTCTTGCAAATGTCCCTTCGCAGGGGCGGATCTAGGGGGAGGGTGCAAGGGGTGCGCACCCGCCCCTGAGATGACCTGCGGTTTTCTAATACAACTGGTATTCTGCAAAAACAAAAAAAAAAAAACTATGTGGTTTATTGGTGTTGAAGTAGAGCAAGAGACGAGTGCACCCCTTCCTAAAAAAAAATCTTGGATCCGCCCCTGCTTCGTATGAAGACTGAGCTTATGAGGCACTTGTATACCCTGCCGATAGGTACAAGATGGTCTTTCGAGCCCTCAGAGGGGTTTCCTACACCAGCTATTAAATTTTTTCAAGGTGGTTCTCAACACTACGGGTTTCCAGCACAGTTTATCAGTTGATGTTACAATGATAATATCAAACGAATGCCCAATCAGTGGTGAAAAAGTTGTGATTATTTACTTGACATTACTGGTTACCACAGCAACGGTATAACCTGTTAAAAACACCCTTAATTCTACCTTTAAGTGCGCAGGACTCAAAAACGTGTTGGACGACCCCCAGTTATTATTATTGAAATTTGATCTGCGTGATAAGATCAACTTTTTGCAATACTTATACAAAAATCCTAGAAGCTGTTTCAAAGGCACCTTAATTTTTCAAAAAAAAATATAGGCAATTATTGGGCAGTTGTTTTATACCATTATTGTAACATCAACCGATGCACCGTGGTAGTACTGGCCAATCAAAGTATAAGATCTGGAATGTGCTGGAAACGTGCTGTGCGCAACCCTAAAGAGAATAAATATTTCTACGTAAGGAACTGTGTACACAACACCAGCTGAGGTTTGTTCAGCATTCTTTATCCAGATTTGTCAATTCATATCCACGAGGGGGAGAACTCTTAAACTTTTCGATGACAAATGGACAGATCGCGTCATCCTTTACCAGCTCGTCACTGAATTGGATACCAGCCTTAAACTGGAAGCGAATAGCGTTGGCCAGCATATGAGCATCTAATCTCGTTGGACGGGTGTAGCCTGCTGGAATAAGCAAGTATGGCTGCCGCACGGCACTAGAACTGATTGGTGGATAGGGTTCTGTAAAGAACACCCAAAGAAATTTCCCGCGCGGGTTGTACGGATAATGGAAATCAATTGTGGCATCGGCTTTCTTGAATGGCAAGTTAAGTTTGAGCTGCTTATCTGCACCATATGAGACGATGATGGGATACTCCTGAACAAAGGAGTAGATTCTACCTCGTATGTATTCCTGACAATTGACAATGATCTGAGTGTTTTCCGATTTCTTGAAAATCAACCTTTTGCAGTTGCCAGTGGACCATCCTTTGATCAAATCTCGCTGCTGGGAATCTTTAAGACAAGTTTTATCATCACTGTCACGGTAGAACTGAACTTCGTTCGGGAGAGCATCAGTGACGATCACATCATGTGGTCCCATGGGAAAAATCTCTACCACTCCACCAGATCCAACACCAACAACGACTGCATTGAGACTGTTATGGTCGTCTCCGCCTGTAATGGTTACCTTTCCTGTGCCTTGTGTAAATTTATTAGCTACGATGATGCTTCCAGATGATTTCCTACCAAGCTTGTAGGTCTTTCCTCTTGTTTTTGCAAGGACAATATTCTGGCCATTTCCAACGTCAATTTCGTTGCCAACAGTAGAAGGAAGGGATGTAGAATCAAGGATTGTGTCGAGCTCTTGTCCAAGGGCAATTTCAAGGTGTTTCAGTTGTTCGTACAGGAAAGTTATTGTCTGTTTTGCCGTTGCTCGATTAAATTCTTGGTCATTTTTTCGAAAGAGCATTAATGGGAAGCGTTGGGCAAAGTCTATAATGAGATCAAACAAATTTGTTGATATTCCGCTCTTGAGTTTATTGCCCCATTCATTGTCAATAAAGACAGTTCGTGGAGGATTCGACTTATCCTTGAATACCAGTTTATCATCTTCAATACTTGCTGCTAAATGGTCAAGACTCCTTATGGACTCAAAACGTAGTTGATTTCCATCATCCCCTTCGTTGATTGTTGCTATGCTCCCCGTTGTTGTGTAGCTTACTCTCAATACTTTGGCTTGATTCCTCTTCAAGGAATTAAAATTTGATCCAGGTTGATAGATGATCTTCCTGTTGGAATGATCCTTAGAAATGGTTCCCAAGTTCTTTCCCGCGTCATCTTCGGCTGGAATAATCTCAACCGTGCTCAAAAGAACATCTGCATGATCATGTTTTAAAATGTCAATTTCAAGTCTTCCGTCTGTCTCCATCCATTTTCCATAAATAGTTGTTTTACAACGGATGGTGTTACCGTCAGCACCCATTACCACGGAAATTGTCAAGTAATCGACTACCTCAGGGCCATGGAGAACGTATGTGTCAGTTCCTGGACCACCAATCAACTCATGTCTACCGCGGGTACTCACGAGGGTGTCATCTCCATCTTTCGCGTCAACAGTTGTTTCTCCGCCTACAGCGATCAAAAGGTTTTCTTTGTCGTTTCCAATAATATTTTTGCACGATGAGAAGCTGACCACATTCATTGCATGTACCAGCGATAGACGTCCAAACTGTGGTCTGAAAGTTATATGCCCTTCGTCGTATTTATACTTTTGGTATATATTAATAGTGTCAATTTGGTATCTTTCGTCTTCATAATACTTAAAGGATATCGTGTTTTTCGTTCCTTCACCAAATCTGATAGAAGACCTTCGATATCCGTTAATGAGTCTCCTCGGCAATACCATTACGTCTTTCTCAGTTGAAAGAGGACCGCAGAAAAAATCTGCATGGTTCAGAATGTACCTCCTCGCGCCATCATAGTATCTAGCATCTATACTGATCTTTTGATGGTAGTTCCGACGAGCTTCGGGTTGACGTACTTCAATAGTTGGTATGTTCTTCAAGTAAACAACATGACGATAATACTTTGGAAAGTCACCCGTCCTAACTGGGTTGTCGATGTTTCTAAGCTGCCATCGACCATAGTAAGCATTTGGGGTAGAGCCTCCTGCAGGAAGAGACTTATATTGGATAACAAGGGTATTTTCTCCACTTCCGCCAACAATGTATTTGGCCCAGTTGTAGAAACCAAAGGTTACTCGTTCCGAGTCCTCCGTAACCTTATAATTGTTTATAGTCGATCCAATAGAAATAACGTTGTTGCCATCACCAGTATACACCACATCACCAAGGCCATAGGACACATCGATAACATTGTGTTCATCACTACCGATAATAGTTGTTGGAATATAGTCAGACAAGATATCTAACCTATCTGGTTGTGCAGCAGCTATTTTTTCAAACTCATCGAATTCGAAACTTCGTCGAAAAGCAAATGCCAAAAGTGCTTCTAATTCCTTGTTTCCAGAGTACTGAAGATGTCCATCCCTGTAGACAGCAGAGCTCGGAGAAATGCTATTAGTGGCATTTCTGGCGACTCGGGTCGAGGACGTAGAGACTGCATACAATGATATTCCGTCACAGAAGTACTTCAAGCCACTTTTTTCTGCCAGAAACCACAGAATTGTGCTTTTTAATTCCTCTGCGTTGCTGAGAGTTACAGGGTTCTTGCGGTTGAAAAAGTTTACTAGACTCTGCTCCAGGCTGCTTGAAGAAAGAAATGCTGGCGTATGAATGACTTGGTTGAAACCGTCCGGCCATCCCGGAAAGCAAGACCCCAAATTAATGCCTGTTCGCCCTTTTTTGGCATTTGAGCCGCTTCTATCCAGATAAATTCCTTTTACTGGTGATTTTCTAGGATTCCTTTGATACATGGATTCCCACACTGGCCCCATGGTAATATAGCGTCTATTCCATAGGCTTTCCTTGAATCTTAAAGACTCTCCAGATAAGGCTAAAGTGTCATATCCCTCTTCCCCTTCGCATCGCCTATCAACACCAGGCTCACAGACAAGAAAATCGTCACCTTCCCCTCCAAAGAGAGTGTCCCTACCTGTTCCACCATTGAGGTAATCATTTCCTGGACCACCATATATGGTGTCACTTCCGCCTCGTCCAAATAATATGTCATCACCTTCTTCACCATAAATACGATCTGGACCAAAACCAGCCACAATCTCATCATCATTTGCCCGCCCCTTGAGCGTTTTACCAAAAGATGTTGCGTCTACCAAGGCTACTCGTAACTGCTTATTCTCAAAATCCTCCCTCGCTTTCTCTGTTAGACACTTCGTAATAGTCTTCCTTTCAGCCTGTAATGTTTCCTTGTCAGCTTCTATTCGTAACACAACTGCGTCTACATAGTACTTGAAGATGTCAAATCCTCGGTTCTTATATCCCTCTGCCATATTGTTTACATAAGTTTTAAATGCTTCAGAGTTTATATATGTTTCAAATTCATCATGTACGCGTTGCGCAGTTGTTCTGAAGTCGATCAAATCAGCAAAGAAACCCAGAATTGTATTTATGACTTGCAAAATCGTACTAACAAGATCTATAATTGGTGACAGGGGCGGGAAAACAAAGTCTAAAGCCACGCTTACTCCATCCAGAATAGCAGTAATCCCATCAACAGCAGCCATCACACCATAAATGACAGCTTTACCTACAATACCTTGCTTAGCAGCGTCACTTGCGGCGATTGCGTTCTTTGCCATAGACACAACACTCGTACCAACTGAAATCGCACCGCCAATAAAAGACGCGAAACGCTTGGTTTGCTTCAGTAACTTTCCTCCGGCCGTGCCGGCTTTTTTCAAAATGTTTTTTTCCACTCTTTTTCCAACAAATTTTACGACATTTTGCATTCCATTGGCGAGACCAAAGCTTCCTTGCGCAACTCGAAGTCGACCATTTCTAATCATTTCATTATATTCACCCTCTGAAATGTGACCCTCGGATCTTAACTCGCGAGCTTTCTTTATCATATCGCTTCCAGCTGCAGTATCAACTCCTCCCTGAGCAATATCGAAAGCAGTACTCAACTTCTCAACACCGTTGCCAACCTTACCTAAGATCTTACCAGCTACCTTTTTTGACTTAATCCTTCCCTTCTGCTGTGCCAATTTCTTTTGACTATTGAAGTTCTGCTGAGACAATCTTTGCTCGTCACCAACGCCCTGAAGACCTTTGATTTTGTCAAATGATTCTGACACAACCATGTCTTGGAGATTCTTCACGCCGGTTCTGTCAACTCGAAACTGTACTTCAGGTTGTATGTTAGATTTTACCATTTTGTCAAAGTTTTCTTGCCTGAGGACATCGACTGTAATTCCCTTCTTTAGTTTGTACTTTAACGCATCGTATTTGTAATTTAAGCTTTTTATTGTTCCTAGAAAGGCAAAATATAAAAATTACGAGTACTAAATTAATGGACTTCTGATTGAAAATAAGAGAACATTGTTAATGGACAAAAAATATTAGCTGACAGACGGCTTTTAAAAAGGAAATGTCTCCCAAAATGAGTGTCCTTTCAATTGCGGAAAAAATAGACATAAACATACTTTATTTTTAATTGAGTTGAAACTAATTTAAAAGATAAAAATTAAAAATTAAGAGAAAAAGGCATCAAGAAAAAGAAATTTAGAGGAATTTATATCCCTATTCAAAAACACCCTCAGACGATAGTCTTCATCTGATTTCAAAAATAGGCACTGATGCTTGTCCTTGGGCATTATCTATTCCGGGAGACAAACACTGTTTCTCGTGAAAAAAACGAGGGCGAGTATTGTTATTGTTTTAGTCAGACACTCTACAGGATTCCAACACAGAACCTACAATTTTGAGTATTCGAAAAAATAAACGCTCCGTATCATTCAACCGTTTCAAGTATTTATAACAAAAACTTTTCGTCATCAAAGCAATCCTTTACGCATTTATTTTTTTCAGACGAAGCACGATGGGTCGATGCTTTTATATGAGACCTTATCGCCTGACTACAATAAAGACCTTTAGATTCTAAGGGTGTGTTCACACTTAGTGTCAGGGCACTAGTTCCCGGGCATGGTACAAAATAGTGCTTTATCCACACTCTGGGAACCCAAGTTGTCTTTCGTCCACTTTGCTCCGTCAGCAGACGCCATTTTTGCAAAAGGAGCGAAGAAGTTGACTGTGGGTAAAACTCCTCGGAAACTAAGGAAAACACGTGCACACAGGGAACCGGTGCCCACTTTAGTGCCCGAGTACAAGGTCTCGACTCGGGCACCGGCACCGTGCCCGAATTCTAGCGCAGGCACTTTAAAAAAGGATTGTTCACATTAGTGCCCAGCGAGTATCGTACTCGGGCACCAGCGCCCGGGCACCTAGTGTGAATGCACCCTAAGACAAGTACGACTACGAGATTTTCTCAGTACTAAGTAGTGCTCGCGGGTGAACCAGCGTCATTTTGGCGGGAAAACGTGGTAGCCGTCGTCACTCTACTACCAGTTTTAGCGAGAATGTCGAAGTGGCGGAAACAAGTTATCAAATGTTGGAAGTTTCCTCATTTTGGGATCAGGAGAGGGTGTAACCTCCTTCACTAAAGGTAACAGTGCTAACCTAAAGGTTTCTAATAAACCATGCTACGACGAAATAGCTGTCCATGGCTTCCATTCTACATGAGTGCAGGTTGTGGCTAAATTGCGGAGTCGACTAGTGTAATAATTGCATCAAATGTTTATTAATTATGTTCCTACCGTCCGTTATATCCCCGATGTCTCCAGGAAGCTCAGCCATAAAACCTCCAAAGGTGGACCCTGCACCCGACATGTAATTACTGTATCTTATCAAGTCGTTCTCTTTCTCACTCTCTTCTCCAGTGATCACCTCCCCTTTAAGCCCTACATCCTTCACTGGACCCGATTCTTCTTCTTGAAATTCTGGTAGATCAGTTCCTTGAAAATGTAAAAAAAGAGAATTCTTAATTTATAAACAAAACCAAACTCAAATAAGTAATGGTAACAGGACTGAGTGGAGTCCAATTCGGTCGGTAATCATACGAGTGATTAAAAAAAATTGGACGACCGCGTAGCGGGAGTCCGATTTGTTTAATCACGAGTATGATTACAGACCGAATTCGACGACACGAAGTTCTGTTACCATTATTAATCATAACTTTAACAAAATTTGTGAAAAAAGGTTCTTTTTTTAAATCAAAACGCAAGAAATTCCAAGGGTTTTTTGCTAGCAGTGAAAAAAAAGCCATTTAAGCGCGCGCGGTTTGTCTTTGTCCTTGACATTAGTAAGCAGTCGCCGTAAAGTGGTTATCGGTTTGTGCGCAACACGTATATTGTAAGGTTGTAATATACGTGCAATAGTTTCAGAGGTGCCTCTGATGTACGGTATA